TGCTGTTCCCCACCCCACTGCCTGGGGTTGGCCCCTTGTCCCCATGATCAGGAGGGAGGTGGGACACCTGGGGACAGACTCACCTGCCTGCTTCTGGGTCCTCAGGCCCACACTCAGCCCTGGAAGAGAGACCCCTGTGAGAGGCTCGCCCTGAATCCTGAGCAGCGCCTCTCCTACCCGTGAGCCTCCTGAGTCCTGGGGTGTCCTGACAGAGCAGCCTGGCTGTGGGGAGGGGTCCCTCCCTGGCTGGGGCTTCCCCTCCCCCTCCTCCATCTCACCGAGGTAGAGCAGGGCCGTGAGGCTGGGGGTCATGGCGTCTCCTTCCTGTGGTCCAGGCGGTGCAGATGGAGGAGACCACGGTGCCCTCAGGACAGAGACCCGAGGGTGTGTCCACTGGGAGGCTAGTCCTCCCCGTCACGGGGCTGTCGCGTCAGCAGCCCCACAGGAAGGGGAACTGCCCCTCCCCAGGAGCCTGGCACTACTTTCCACAGGGCTCAGGCTGGAGTGGGCAGCGGGCCTCTGCAGGCTGCCGTGTCCCTGGACTCAGCCCCTCCCATCTTCCAAGCCAGCAGGCGCGTCTCTCCTTCTTCTGCTTCCGAGTCCCATCGTCCTTGGCTCTGATCCCTCTACCTCGCTCCTTCACTCATCAAGACCTCGGTGGTAACGTGGGCCACCGCCCCCCACCCCCCGCCCTGGTAATCCAGGACTGTCTTCCCATCTCCAGCACTTAGAAGGTGCCTTGGGGGGATCTTCAAGGGAAATTCAGGGCTCGTCCTAAGAGTACAAAATGATAATAATACAAATAGAATTCAGTATCCTTCTGCACGGAGTAAGGTAGAGCAGGTAGTGAGTTTCGAAATCACGGTGACTTTCCTGCCCACCCCGGCTGAGCAGAGGGACAAGAGGACAGAGCCTGGGAGGCGCCGCCGACTAAGAGGATACCTCGGGCAGGTGCCCATCACCCCCAGTGAGGGTTTCAACACTAAAGGTTTCACAGGAAGCAGAGCAGCTATTTCCCTACACGTCAGTCTCTGTTACCATCCCAAGTAAGATGCATGACGTCTCCTTTTTCAGAAAACAATTTCTGCGCGTCATAAACCCCAAATGTGAGCTCCAGACACGGTCCAAATACGCCATCAAGTGCCGAGAGCCTGATGCTGGCTTTCGAGCTGGACGGTCAGAAGATCAATGGTTCCTGCCCAAGGTATTTCCTCCCCACACACTTCAGTGGTTTGTGTTCATCTCCAAACGCTCCTAGATCATGGAATCCTGTTTGGATTAATGAGATTTAAAACAAGCTCACGAATGGAGATGTTGGGTTCTTTCCTTCACAGCCTTGGTCATACTGAGGTTGATGAGAGACGTGACTGAGGGCTCCTGAGGAAGGGGAGACCCTGCAGAGAAAGGAAGCGTGATGCACACAGAATAGGAGCTTTGCCCAAAGCACTTCCTGGTTAGATGCAAGTTGTGCATTTTGGGGTGGAATACCACTCAAGCCATATTGGCCTTGTTTTTCCTTTTTGGTGATTTGGTCTTTCCTAACTTGGTTAATTCGGCATGCCCCAGGTTTCTCCAGAGTAAAGCTGTTGTTTCCCCTTTGTAATTAATCACTGGTCTGTGGGGAGGTACTTTGAGAGTTTGTACGTATCTTGCTCCTTATTAAATTTTCACTTTATAAGTTTAGCAGCTACTGCCCCTATGCCATAGCAAAAGCTTCTCTTCTCCCAAATGCACCCATTCACATGGAAATCACCTTGTTTATAATATCCCAGTACTTTTAAATGCCTGTAAGATACGGCCAATCCTTCTTGTGTTTCTTCTGTCATAATAAGCAGGCGCATCTAGGCTTTCTTATTTCCTCACGACTCAGAGGCTATATGGTGTGTTTTAATTTCTGGTTGATCTCGTCCCCACTACCCGCATAGCTCTTCTCTTTGTGTGTTTTCCTAAGTATTCTTGAGTTTTGATTTTTCCATGTGGAGCTTAGTATCAACTTGTCTAGTTCAAGAAGAAAAGCTTGTTAAACTCAAAAGCTTTTGCACAGCAAAGGAAACCATAAAACAAAAAGACAACCCACAGATAGGGAGAAAACATTTGCAGATGACGTGACTGACAAGGGATTAGTCTCCAAAATTTACAAACAGCTCATGAGGCTTAATATCATCAAAACAAACAACCCAATCGAAAAATGGGCAGAAGACCTAAATAGACATTCCTCCAAAGAAGACATACAGATGGCCAAGAGGCACATGAAAGGATGTTCAACATCGCTAATTATTAGCGAAATGCAAGTCAAAACTACAATGAGGTATCACCTCACACCAGTCAGAATGGCCATCATCAAAAAATCCACAAACAATAAATGCTGGAGAGGGTGTGGAGAGAAGGGAACCCTCCTGCACTGTTGGTGGGAATGTAAATTGGTGTAGCCACTGTGGAGAACAGTATAGAGGTTCCTTAAAAAGCTAAAAATAGAGCTACCATCTGACCCAGCAATCCCACTCCTGGACATATACCCTGAGAAAAACATGGTCCAAAAGGATACTTGCACCCCAGTGTTCATTGCAGCACTGTTTACAATAGCCAAGACCTGGAAGCAACCTAAGAGTCCATCGACAGGAATGGATAAAGAAGATGTAGTACATATATACAGTGGAATATTGCTAAGCCATTAAAAAGAATGAAATAATGCCATTTGCAGCAACATGGATGGACCTACAGATTGGCATACAGAGTGAAGTAAGTCAGACAGAGAAAGTGAAATATCGTATGATATCCCTTATATGCGGAATCTAAAAAGAAATGATACAAATGAACTTATTAACAAAAGAGAAACAGACTCACAGACTTGCAGAATGAACTTAGGGTTACCCGGGGGGAAGGATGGAGGGAAGGGATAGTCAGGTAGTTTGGGATTGACATGTACACACTGCTATATTTAAAATGGATAACCAACAAGAACCTACTGTATGGCACAGCGAACTCTGCTCAATGTTATATGGCAGCCTGGATGGGAGGGGAGTTTGGGGGAGAATGGATACATGTATATGTATGGCTGAGTCCCTTTGCCTTGCACCTGAAACTATCACAATGTTGTTAATCGACTATATTCCAATATAAAATAAAAAGTTTAAAAAAAAAGAAGAAGAAAAGCTTGTTGGTGTATTTGGAGGACTGAGGTACATTTATAAATTAGCCTACGAAGAACTGACATGTTTGTGATGCTGAGTCAGTCACTCTGTCTAAGGATAAGGTGATTTTCTTAATTTGCTCAAATCTAATTTTTCCGCCATTCAGAAATGTTTGAAAGATATACGTTTGCATGGGTTAAGTTTTGCACATTTCTTATTACATTTATTCCATAGAATTTTCCTTTGTTGTTGTTGACATTCAGGGTGAAGTTGGGATTTATTTGTGTATATGAAAATGGTTAGTTCATAGAAATTAAGTTTATAGGGACTACTGATTTGATTTTTTTAATGGTTGAGTGACTTTTATCATTGAGTCTCTAGGGCTTTCCAGTCTGCTTCCTTTCTGCACGCTCCACTCTCACTGCATGATACAGCCCTCCCACCACACCCTCTTTTGCCCAATTCCCCAAGTTCTACACATGCATGTTCTCCCTGGTGTTCATAGTCCTCCAAGAACTGGCTCATCCTGCCTTTCCAACTCTGTTTTCCAATCAATATCCTTATCAGAGCAGAACAGCTACAGTCCATGTGAGGGCAGGGTCTTGCATTGCCAGAAATTCAGTGAAAAAAAAAAAAGTTGGCAGTGGTGCATTCTGAGTCCTCTAATATTCCACCCTCTTTTTGGGGGGCAACTGGCCTAGTTTCCTAGCACCTAGAGAGCAATGAAAAATTTGTGTAGATGCAAGAATTATAAAGATATGTCTGATTTGGAAAGCCTATAATACTACAAAATAAGAATCTAAAAGTGTAAAACCCTCATAAAAACGATAGGAATAGGACGTCCCTGGTGGCGCAATGGTTAAGAATCCGCCTGCCAATGCAGGGGACATGGGTTCGAGCCCTGGTCCGGGAAGATCACACATGCCGCAGAGCAACTAAGCCCGTGCACCACAACTACTGAGCCCACACGCCACAACTACTGAGCCGCGTGCCACAACTACTGAGCCCGCGTGCCACAACTACTGAGCCCGTGTGCCACAACTACTGAGCCGCGTGCCACAACTACTGACTACTGAGCCCCCATGCCACAACTACTGAGCCGCGTGCCACAACTACTGAAGCCTGCATGCCTGGAGCCCACGCACCACAGCCAAGAGCAGCCCCCACTCACGCAACTAGAGAAAGCCTGCATACAGCAATGAAAACCCAATGCAGCCAAAAATAAATACATAAATAAGATTTTTTAAAAATAGGAATAAATTCTTTCTCCCAGGCCAGGATTTCCAGAAGTTTCCTTAAGAGCTGATGGAACCAGATGACAACTAGGACAGGACGCCCTTTGGTTATTGCCTTTCTTTCCGTTGGCCTTCCAGAACATTCTTGCATGTTTCTCCCTTTATTCTAGTTAGCCGTCTCCACTCCAGGCCACTCTCATCTGGCCTCTGCTACCCCTGAGTCAGTGTAGAAAGGTGCAGGCTTGTAACCAGCGCCCATTTCTTTCTCTCCCTCCCTCGGGCAGCAACCTTCGGTGGCCAGGCTGTGGTTTTCTTTGTTAGAGAGCTGCCATGTTAGGTACTGCTGGGGTCCAAGGCTAGATGTGCAGCAGTTCCAACGGGTGTGGCCTGAAATGATCTAGAATTGTGGTCTGATCTAGGAGGTGACTAACCATTGTTCAGCTCTGTTCTCCTTAAAAGGGTGAGAGGACCTTCTAACTTCAGAACTGACACATTGGGTGGGAGGGAAAGGAGGAAGCAGGGATTGAAAGAAAGATTGTCATATGATCCAGAAGGCAAAGACGCAGAGACTTTCAGCAGGGCTGGAGTCAAGTGAACAGACACTGCATTAAATCCATTGACTTTAGGTTTTCGAGCACACGTTTTTAGCCTCCGTTTCATATCCCTCTGGGTGACCCGCTGATTTCATGTTCGATCTGGTTGACAGCTCTGTAGGTCTCAGCATCCCATAGACAGCATCCCTTCTCAAGAATGCCTACATGGCTCTCCACATTTGGGGGAAGGACCTTATCTGAAACAATTTCAGCCCCAAACCATGAAGAATGAAACCATCCCTGGGGAAAATTCCAAGCAATGGGGAATAGGAATACATTCCTATGAATGAATACATTCCCAAGTGTCCATGCATACATTCCCAAGTGTCTCTTCCTTTGGAAGGAAAATTCTGCAGGGTATTCTGTACACTCTCAGAGATCCTGGTGGAGTCTTGTTCACATCACCTCATGCAGGGACCTCAGTAATGCGTCCCTATTTCAGGAATTCCTTTCCTTCAAGCTTTCCCTATCCCACTCCCTCTTTCTTGCTTCTCAAATAAACTACCCACACTTACATCCCTGTCTTAGGTCCTGCTTTCAGAGTAACTCACAGTAATTCAAGGATGGGAAAATGCCATGAGGTGTTTTGTTTTTGTTTTTTTCCAATGACATGATCTTTTGTCTAACTGCTCGAGATCACTCCCCTTAACCACTCCAGGACTTCTTGGAATTACCCATTTATTCATCCATTCACCTTTCACAAATCTTATCCCTGTTCACTAAAAAAATATTAAAGCATGTCATCCCATGGCCATCCCAGGAAATGAGGAAATAAAGTTGAGCAAAGCAGATGTATTCTCTGCCCTCATGGAAGGTCTGGTGTCGTACGAAAAACTAAACAAAACAATTACACAAATCTAAAATGGGAAGAAGGATTAGTCCTCTGGGAGAACAGTTTAAAGCAATAAGAAAAATAAAGAAATAACCAATTTTATTAATTTGGATTTGAAGGTGGTAAGGGAAAGCTAAATTATTTAAATTATAGCTAAATGCCCAGAATCAATCAGCATTTTCTAAATTAAGTGAATTATAAGGAAAGAGAAGGAAACATTACAAACTATCATGGGCAAGTCTTCAAATGGGTGAATCTTAACACATTAGAAGAAATAAAAATATCACAGGCATGTTCAACCCTAATTGATTCCTGAATGTGTTTCACTCTACAATCAAGCCTTTACGAGATACACAAAACACTATCTAACTGGGATGCATGGTTAACCTCCAATTTACTTTGGGAGCATGGGT